CGGACAGCCTCCAGAGACCCACTCGCCAGCTGGTGTAGTGGTGGCTGACACCAGGGCAGGCACGAAAATCACGTGATGGCCAAACAAACGCTCTCGTGTAAGTTTGACTTACACGTGTAAGCTAATCGAACGCACCCATAGAGTGGACAATCGCTGAAGTTGCGCGTTAACTTCCGGTTCCATTGTTCCACGTAGACGGCGATCAAAGCATGTAACCCTTTGAGCAGTGCATATGTGCAGTGGGTGTGGTTTAAACTGAAGTGACGTCCCACTTACGAACCAGATACTTTTCAAAATTTCGGTTTTATGAGCAAGACCGGCGCGGCGGTCTATGCGTATACGCCTGCGGTACCCATCGATTTCCATTATATAATGGAGGTACGACAGGACTGTTGATTTGATTTCAAAACACGCCCTCTTTTGTTTGCTGCTAGTGCCCTGAGGAAGGTACTCGGTTACCAAAAGCTGGGCAATCACATACATCATGCATACATGTATCCAGAACACTGATTTTGTATTACATTCTTGTCTCTTTTGTTCCTGCTCGGAGCGGATACATCTCCGCTAGCGCTTGCATACGATGCGCACACTGCTTTTCCGCTGAGGTAACGTAGAGGAAACCACGGAGGAATTACACTAAACTGAACAACAAACAAATTTTTATGAATTAAATTTAAAAAGTAAGAGTTAAAAAGAACAAGGACAGGATAACTCAGGAAGGTGAGCGAGCAATCATTATTTCGATCCGAAAATGTGATAACTACCGCGATAAAAAAGTAACCATCCATTGTCCAACGTTTTTTCGAAGTTTGTTTTTTTAAAGTATATTTTTTCAACTTCATTTTTACGCAATATATGATAAACGAACTTTATCAATTCATTTCTTTTGAAAACGAAGCTGGAATAAGTGAAAAAACTTCGAAACAATGATAGTTCACTTTTTAAAATAAGTATGGTACTAATGGTCTTTCGTACAAAGCCGGTCTGCTGTGCGCACGCAGCTGTACTGTTCATTGCGGTTGCGCCTGGTTCCGGCCGTGCCGGTGGCGGATGACAAGCACCGAAGTGTACCATTATAATGGATATCAATGAGTGTATCTAGTCCTGGTGGTCCCCTTGATCTTTGTCGCGTCTTTATGCAATTTATTGTGTAAACGTACATGACGTGTGACGCATGCCGCGCGCGGGAAATCATGCTCATACGAATTCGTCGAACAATTAGTATTTGGATGAAATGAAGTGGACGAACATTTAACATTGTTTAACTTCAGATCTATTCAGTAATAGCCGTTTGACAATCTGCCCATCGGAGAGGACTCAGCGCGCCCAGGCTGACGTCTACCAGCCCTATCACCTTGTCAAACCTGTCTGATAGACAGATTGGTTTTCACAGTAAGTGGCGACCTGGCGACTATCATACGGTCACGCACCTTAGAACCGTAACATGCGTAAACAGGGTCCTACATGTACGTACATGATACTCCTTCGTCGATAGGCCTGT